GGAGAGTTTTCCTGTCACGCCAACAACAGCAAGCATGCTAACCAGCCTTACTTTCTGATTCGTGTGCAATAAAAACGTTTTATAATGGGATACAGGCAGCACATATCTGTCTCATTTTGACTAGAAAATAAAACACATTTTACATTACATGGACGGAAATCAGTTTTACAGTGTCTTTAACTTAAACTGTTCTTTCATGTCATGGTAAGTGTATGGTAAGCTGCAGACTAAAATGTGTAGGCCAGTCGCTCTCAGGCTCTTGTTGAAGCCGTGAGGTCACAGTCCATAGGCAAAGGTCAGGGATGAGAAGGACTGGAGAGGGCAGCGGAGGAGAAAGAGGGAGAGAGCGGCCTTATGGGTGTCAAATAGACCTTCTGGAGCTTTGCACCGGAGAAGCGGCATAGCTCAGGCCGTGCTGTGATGTTTGTTGACACGTCTGAGAGAGAATTTGGAAGTTTTCACGGCCATCATAAATCAGAAGGAGGCTTGATTTTTCCCATGGTTAGGAGCGCCTAGAGGAGTTTGATTGTTATTGGTTATAACTATAGGTAATTTACAGTAGAGCAATAGCTTTAGGCGGTTGTCTTAATTAAAAGTGTGACATGTTTGTTATGAAACATTTCTGTTCATAACAACAAAAATTTCTGTTCAGCCAATATCCTGGTTGGGCATATACATTGATGTAATAAAAGTATTTACAGGTCATAGTTGGCTCAGAAAGTCTCTGAATATTTGAATTTATATTTACACAAATCCGTTCTGTAGTTACATGAGAGATAAACAACAGCCACATAAAACATATGCATCAGTCAATAAAATAATTCACTCCTTGGGTTCTTTTTAAAGACAGTACAGTAGGAAATGTATTTACCTTGAATTCATGTTTCTGCTGCTAACTGCAAGCCATCTTCAGAACTGTCACCGGTGTTGGTAGTGACGTGTCATAGATATTGTTATTTCCTCTGACTGTGGTCAATCTGATAGACCTGGCAGGTTGTTCAGACTGACCACGTCATCAGGGAGGCCATTGAAATCAAGAAACGAACATGATGATGGAGCATTCCTCCTTTCACACACCTGGGAAGTAACAACAGCTGATATATGACACATGTTAACAAAGTAAGTACGTCCAATACTGTATTGTCTTTAAAGAATAAAGGATAAAAGAAAAAGAAGAAAGTTAATTATTACATTTTTGTTTTAAGGAAATCAACGCTGTTTTCTGTTCTTGCATTGGTACTGATATCATGTATTGTGGCTGATACGTAAAGCTATAGTATCAGAAACAGTATCCGAATTGGAAACAGTCAAGATACTTTTTTCAATATCGCCAACACCATCTGAGAGACAAATCTATTCAATAGAATTTGGACTTGAACACAAAAAACATCAAGTGTCAGTGCAGGATTAAGCTCATTATTATATTTTACTATTGCGATGGCAGGAGATGTGTGATTGACAGTAATGTGTGTTGAATGGTTCCTCTTATTGGGTGTTAAATATGAATAATTACAGTAGTTTCAAAAAAGAGCTGTGTTACTGAACCTGCTGTCCTTACATGCGCTGGTTAAACAGCAGTTTGTACGTTCTACATGTGGCAGTGTTCATCAGCCTCACTATGCACTCTCCACACCTGTTCCTCCAGCTGCTGTTGCAAAGCATTCTGGGAGCTGCTCCTAATTCCATGTATTTTGTTCTGGTTCGGATGGCAGGAGAAGAGCAGCATGGTTACGGTTTACACGGCCTATATTATCTGCTATATTATTAAGACAATTTTCACAAGTGCGAGCTCTTCCATCCATGAACACATAACCAAAAACCATAAACTGCTGTAGCTTTGAAGGTACTTGGAAAGCTCTGGGCTGCCCATGGAGAAAATAATAGGGTATGAAGCAGAACAACCCACCGCTGCTATAGCCCAATCTGAGCTCCACTCATGCTCAACTGCAATAAGAAAACCTGGGGCATTAAGAAAACCATGGAGATGAGCAATATCAGGCATATTATAATAACATCAGGCATCAGGCATATTATATATACCAACTCTGCAGTGTGGGGGACTTGAAATGTTTTAATTAACTGAGGGACAGGCAAGTTCCATAACCTGAACTTTACTTTTACTTGTTTATCAAGGTGGTGTGTTATTTGTTTAAGGGACTAACCTTTTACTGACCCTTCCATTTATTGAACAAACACATGGCCGGACACACACGTAAGTTGTATGTTTCAATGTGGGGTCTTAAAATACTTATACAACAAAATATTTTGTAACTATGTAAAAGTAAGCAACTATGTAAAGAACTTTGCACCCAGTACAATCTTATGTTGGTCCACAAAGCAACATATCTCCCAAAAGCACTACTTTGCATGTTGTAATACATTGTTGATTTACCAAACAGTAATACAGTCAAAATCAAATGGCGGTTTCACTGATCTCTTATTTAATCCTATCACTTAAAGAGCCTTGCAAATTGGCTAAAGCTATTAGACATAGATTGACTAAGGTTCAAAACAAGGCAGATTTCCTCTTCTCATGTAGATCACTTTTGTAAACATTTTTTGTCAGAGAAGCTTTCAAATATAATGGTATCATATCATAAAAAAGTCTGTGTCAAAATGATGAATACTGTTGTGCTTTTCCTCCCTGTTAGACCCACCCAATGGTCCTCACCTTGCTTCCCAAAGGACTGAGTGCAGCTCATGAGGCCTCAGACACACTTAATAGGATTATGGTAATATCATTTTGTGCTGCTGACCCCAGACCGCTGCCAGGCTTCTTGCAGATCCTTGGACAAAGGCGGGAGCTCACCCAGGCCTCTGCAGGCTGGCTCTGCTCCTTGGCACAGCCCACTGTCCTCATGGGCCCGCAACAAGATGGATGACGGGAGGGCAAAGTCTCACTTCCTAAAGACCTCTCCAACAGGGCGCACAGTGAAGAGAGAAAAAGAACATTTCAGTTAGTCATTTGATGTTGATGACTTTGTACAAGTTTTCTTTCAGTTTTAGTGCACCCGTCTATAAGATCAGGATGTAGGCAATCTTTCCAGTAACTTGAATCAGCGCAGATTGTAGTTCTTGAGGAGAAGCAGGGGTTCCCATGGAGACAGCCTTGTGCTCAGCCTGTCTAGCTCTGTGATTTAGCAGTGTTTGCCCCATTATATCTGTCTGATTGGCTTAGGAACTTTTTTGTTGACTAGACAGTTTAAAAAGAACTTAGTGCATGGGGTCAATCGGTGTCCATAGGTGTATAAAAGCATGAAAAGTTCTAAGTAATATATCTGTTATTATATTTCAAAAACAACTAATTAATTGGAAAGTTCCATGCAAAGAATATAAAAATGCACAGCAAAAGGTAAAATCAGTTTAAATTCTCATTTATTGTTGCCTGACTTTTTTCTTTCTTCTTGCTTTTGCCCCTTAAAGACCACCCATAGGGACTGACGGGGGAAGACGTCTCTGCGGAATAATAATGGGCTCTTCCTGGGAAAATTGCCCATGAAAATGGCCTGTCTGAAAAAAAAAAAGAAAATTTTGGTCTTGTTTCCAGGCTTAGACGGAAACATCCATCAGAGAGCTGCTGCAGTTCAGAAGAACAGAGGCTACTCTGGGCCTCTGCAAAGCTACGCAGTGGGACACCTGACAATATGCTCTTAAACAAGAGGAGAGAATATGGCAAATAAAACTACCCAACCTCATTTCTATTTCTATTTTCTCTACCATTACCCACTACCACTGACAGCTGCTCATCAAAACCCATTTTAGATGTAATGTTTAGGGACAGCTTCTTGCAATGTGTGCTATTTAGTACAGTTTGTAGACTTTTACCAAACGTGTTGAGTCATGTTTTTCTTTATTTGTCAGTTCTACACAGCGCAAGATGTTAGTATGAAATCATTAGCTTCCTGAGATAGATCTGTCTGCCTCACTTGTAACCACTCTACTAATGAGGAAACATCATGATTGGCTTTACCCACACTCCTGAGTTCTTCTCAGCACAGTTCCTGCGGCGCGGTGCCCTGGGATGTGCTCAGTGCCCCGTCAGCTCTGGGACTCTGGAACTCCGCTATGGACCTGCTGCATGCGCCTCAGTCAATGGTCACTGTTCCTGCCCTCTGGAGTTACAACAGACAAACCACACAGTCAGATGTATAGTTTTATAATGTTATGTCTTTTCATATACATTCTGAAGAAATAACTAAAATATTTTAAATGGGTGTATTTTATTACCTATTAAAACAGTTCTATTCACAAGCTGTAAAACATACAGCAATCACAGAGTGACTTGTAGTACCAAAATGGAAATGTCACTGTTGGAGAAGCTATATGAAATTGTTCTCATCACTGGCGATGACCAATTAACTTTTTGAAACCAGTGACTATAATTATCTGGGCTATTTTGTTAATATATACTCAAATTAAATAAAAATGAAGCGTTGCACTAATAAATACTGTAAAGTGTTATTCTGTTCATATAGTTTCTTTAGTTGCGTTTTCTAGACTTTTTGCAGAGCAGTCAGTGTGAGTAATTTAAGAACACCCTTCAGATTTCAACACAAAGTTGTAGTACCTGATTGTGTTTACACAGTCCCTGATTTATTGGGTCTCTTCTATTGCAGTATTACTTGTCCTATAATGAATAAACAATATTCAATGTCTGTTTGTTTCTTTAAGTCACTCTGTATATATTGGGGAGGGTGCAGTCATACGTCTTTTCAAAAGTTTGTGGTTAAAACCTTATGAGCTCACGGTCTGAGAGGCCTGCAGCAGAAAGCCCTGCTCTCAGTCTGACAGGGCAGATCCAATACCCAGCACACTGCTAATCCATCATGGTACAACAATAGGAAGAGCATTACTGATTAGAATCATCAGGTCAAATTGTCAAGATGATGCTCTGCCATTGTAAGTAGAAAAAATAAACATCAAATAATAATTCAAAATAAATCCATGAGTGAAAACATTCTTTTTGTTTTTTGATTTATTGCAAACAATATAATACAAAAGATAAGCTTTTAAGACAATGCCATTTTACCTAGAACAGCTGCATTATCAAGTTGATAAGGAGAACTAATGATACAGAATGGGATATAAAAGGAACAAAGATCATCCAGTTGATTCCAGCATTTCCACAATAATGATTTTGTTAGAAACAAACAAACAAAAAAGATAACTTCCAGTTGTCTTCTCTAGAATTCATTGTGATACATATTCTGTACACAGCTAAATAAAAAGAACATTTACAAATGATAAATTAAACAAATCTGTATCACAGCAGGCGTGGTTAGCTGCTGGAAAAATTAAAAACTAATTGCAAATAGTTATTTTCACATAAAATTAATGCTAATGAATAAATTAGGAAAAGGGTTTCAGAAAAAAAAGAGTTGTGAAGAGCAGAGCAGGCTTGGAGCTGCTGGAGAATCTGGTCAAAGGTCACTTCCTGTAAGCGCAGGAGCAGAAGTCAAAAGTATGCTGAGGTTTTAACACAGCCATGGCAGACAGCAGCCCCAGAGGCAACTACGGCATCAAGGCAGCAACCAGACACAAGTGACACTACACAGTAAGGCCTGAGGAGAAGGCATGGCACTGAGCCCAAGCAAGAGCCAGGGGAATATTCATGACACAGTCACATTATGGTACCTACTGCTCAGCATTTGCATCAGAAAGGAACGACATTAAAATATTTACAGTGAAGGTGGAATGTCTATCATAAGACAGCAGTGTCAGTAAACAGATTCTTTACATGTCATACTTTCTATACAAAAAAAGGGAAAAAAAGGCCACTTTTACCCAGCATCTTGACCCTGGGGCGCCCTCACAATCTGAGGGCTGTTCATGGCAGTGAAGGCAGGAGCAGATACATACACAGTACATACTAAAATATTATAACTTGTATCTCCTCACAGAGGATTCTTTAACAACAAACTGTATCTAAAAAAATAGAAGTACAATTTCAAACAATATATAAAAGGCACTGTTGGGAGCCAATCCAAAGATATATTTTCAGTACATAAAAAGTCTTTGTTTTTCTACTGGCATTGTGTGCATTAGAGTCAGTGTCTCACGGCCTGGAGAGCTGTGTATAGATGGGCTGCTCCCAGTGCTGTGGACTGTGGTTCTGTGGGACAGAGGGCACCCCAGCGCTGTCTGCGATTGGGGTGTACATGGGCCTCTGACTGGGGCTCATGTAGCTAAACGTGGAGTAAAGGCCGGAGCCCTGGCCAGCCGCATGACTATAGTACGAGTTAGTGCCCTGCTCTGAGTACTCGTACTGGGCTCTGGTGATGGAGGGGTACGAGCTGCTGTAGTGCTGCAGGTTAAAGGAGCCGTAGGTGACATGCTGAGGAGAGCCCTGCTGGTCACTGTAGTGGCTCGGACTCAGCTGCTCTGTCTTGATCTGTGTGGTCCTCTGTTGTTGCTCCCCGCTCAGGTTGGTCAGTGTGTGCTGCTGCTGTTTGTTCATCCAGGCACTGTTCTGGGCCACAGCCGCACTGCCCATGCCATAGCTGCCAGTGTACCCTGCCGGAGCAACGCCCGCGTGGCTGTGGGGCGGAAGGTACTGGTCAAACTCGTCCACGTCAAAACTGCCCATGTTTGAGATGACCTCGCTGCTCAGCTCCCCAATGTCCACTGCACCAAAGTCAATGTTGAGCTGGCGACTGGTGCCCTCCTGCACGGGTCGGCCCTCCCGCTTCAGATCAGCTTTGTTGGAGGGCAGATCAGTTTTGGGGGTGGTAGGTGGAGTGGGTGGACCCTGGGACTGACCTGGGAAAAAGATATAAAGAAAATTAGCATTTCATTTGCATGTTTATTAGAAATCTGCATGTCAAAACCAGCATTAAATAACTGGTTATATCATGTTTTGACACGTCAAGTAATTCCCAAAAGTAATTGTAAACTCACCAGAGTGTTCGCCAGGGGAGTGCACATCTCCCATGCTGGACGCAGGAGAATCCGCCTGCTGCAGTGCCTTGAAAATGGCGTTCGGTGAAATGTGCGTCTGCTCGCCGTCTTCAGCGTCGCTCTGACCGTTTTTGACAGACTTTCTCCGCCTTGGCTGGTACTTGTAGTCAGGGTGGTCCTTCTTATGCTGCACCCTCAATCGTTCTGCTTCTTCCACGAACGGCCGCTTCTCAGACTCGTTGAGCAATCTGTTATAAGTGAAAATAACATTTTAAAATGTGAAACATTGCACCTAGTATAATTTGTTATTTTATCAGGACCCCAGAGACAATTTGACGCCTAAAATAAAATCGAAATATGCCCAGTGAAATTAAAATATAATTATGGCCGTAATGATTAAACAATAAACAATGAAAGGGAACTTTATCTATTTAGTCAAGTGTCTTTTCTTACCTCCAGAGTTTGCCCAATGTCTTGCTGAGCTCCGCGTTGTGAAGATGCGGGTACTGATCGGCCAGTTTCCTGCGCGCAGCCTGAGCCCACACCATGAAGGCGTTCATGGGTCTCTTGACGTGCGGCTTGTTCTTACTGGATCCGTTGACGCGCACAGGCATGGGCACGAGGGTCCAGTCGTATCCCTTGAGCACCTGAGACACAGCATCGCGGATGCACACGGGGAACTTTTCCTCGTCCGTCTCCTTCTTGTAGTCGAGAGCGGACATCAGGAGATGGTTGTCCACTGGCCGGGTGTTCTCGGTGTCCGAGCCCGAGTGGGACGGGCATGGTGAGCCCGCAGAGTCGTCAGACATGCAGGGGCTGGGAGCATCGGAGTGACACTTCTCCTGTTCCTCTGTCATCTTCAGGTAAGGGTCGAGGAGATTCATACGAGCTACTGTCCACGAAAAAAAGAAGAAAAGGCTTCTTCTTGTGTCCAGGGACTGCAGATCCACACAGGTTAACGCTCCGTCGTGCGCAGAGTTTCTTGCACTGTTTTTCAAACTGCAAGTGACAGTTTCCACAAACAGAACTGTGAGGCGGTAACTTCACTGAGGACTGGAACACGCTCCGTGCTCTGAGAGGTTTGCAGAGAATCTAAAGAAGTGCAGCACAAGCCCCGATTTATGTGGGACGGCGCGAGAGGGGGGGACTCCGCGGAGGCGGGACGTAATCTGACTCTGCTCCCAGCAGTGCGCCCCCAGTCAACAAGTGAGGAGACAGTTTACTCTACTCCTCGAGGCAACTAAACGTTGGCTACTACGGCTACTTATAAGCTGACATCATTCAAAAGTATAGAATAAGTTAAAGGCTAAGTGCATCCGACACGTTCATACACTAATTCTTACAGGTGTTACGCCCAGCAGCGCGCCCAGCGTGGAGCGCCGCACGTAAAGAGTGTCTCAGAAAAGAAAATGAAAATTCGCAAGCAGAAGTCCCATTACCACAAAATACTAAATCTGTAGTCCTTCTTGAGAAGTATTTCTGAACCATTCTGTGCGCGCTTTGATGAAACTGTGTTGAGTGAGTACGCATGAGAGCAGGGCTCCAGTGTGAAATACGACCAATGGGGGGCGACAACGCACCAGAAAATCAAGCTCATTCACGCCTATCTGATTTTGTGTAAATAAAAGAAAAGAAGCTGTATTGTTGGAAGAACACACAGCACGTGATTGTATATATATATTTTTTTTTAATAAAGGCACTCTATTGACCATCAATGCAACATGGAGTTCATTTGATTTTAAGATGATTGGTTTTGTATTCCATCTACACTATAACAAAAAACATCAAACCTATGCCTTCTATTTGAAATCCAACTCACAATGATTCATATTTTGCAAAGCTCATGTGTATCATTTTATATGCCTTCTACAAGTTCAGTTGACAGTAATCTGAATCAGAAAGAGATTCAACTGTGATAAACAAAATGTTGAATTTACATTTTGGTTCTAATGTTGTATTTTATATGAGTTACCTCTTGACCCTGACATTTTCATTAAAGTCTCCTCCTTAAATCCTCTAGATGTGCATGTTGTTGTAGCGTCTTGTCAGTGGGCCTTGTCAGCTCCCCTACATGGCCCTACTTGATGTAATACAGTTCAGACATGGTGTTCTTCCAAACATGACTGTGGTGAGAAACACAAGAGGTTACCACTGTTTTCGTTTCATCATGGTTTGATAGGTGTAATTATGGTCATTTCTGTAACACTTCAAAGTAACCTTAGACTTGGCACATAACCTTGAGCCAACTAATAGTGCCGTCTTGTCACTTAGAATGTTGTCAAATGTAGCATGTTCTGAAGATAGAGGGCTGCTGGTGGTTTGCAGACTTCTTAGCATTAAGTGTTTTTTTGCATTTTTATTTGGGAATCAACTGAGTGCGTATACATGCACATCAATAACCCGGTTATTAGCCATATCCTGGTTATGTCACCATCAAGAAACCGGGATACTCAAAAAACCCGATCATAACCGGGTTATTGATGCATGTATACGCACTCATTTTGTTTTATTTCAGTTTAGTATAGTTCTTACTTGGAAATTCATGAGTGAAAAGACATGTAAAAAGCTGCTCAGTCTCCTTTGATGCAGGTGAGGGCTAAGGTGAAGTTCTATGCTTATATCTAATTAATTTATTTACCCAAATATAATCTGAGGTAACATTATTAAATAAATGCATATTTAGTTTCACAACATTAAGATAATAATACTTGGTAAAAGTTAAATATTTAATATACTGAAACAAACAGCAACTACCACCAACTGAGATACCCAGGCAGATGGGGGAGGGGATTGTCCCAACTGTATAGAAGAGGAAACCAGGGATGGCTAACACAGACACATCAAAGGTGTGGTGTGGCATGTTTGCGCCCCCACAGGACCCCATGTGACTGTCCCAGGAGCACAGGTTCCAAAGGTGGGTCCAGCACACTCGTGCTGCCCGCCCTGCAGCCCGACCAGAGCCCCGCTAGATCTTGGGAAACTTCTCAGCTTGACTTCGAGCCACGGCGTTAAAATTTTGAAGCAAACACTGGGGGTAAACTGCCAAATCATGTCTTCCACCAAGCAGATTCCATGGCCAATGTTTGAAAAGTTTCCCTTTGGAAATGTTTAAACTGAATGAAATTTGGAGAGAAAAGTGCAAATTTAACGCATAATATGTTAATGTAAAATAGTTATATTCGATATAATTTTTTTTCAATGTCTTTGTTTTAAATTATGTCAAAAAAGTGTGATTGAGCTCAATTGGAAACTTTATTACAATTAAAATTAATCCAAATAAGTGCTGATTATGCAAAATGTACAAAACCAGAAGTAAATAATTTAAGATAGAATTAGAACCAAATTAAGAATCCTTATTACATTTTGGGAACAACACAAATGATCAAATTACCAGTACAAAATATAATTCTGGAGTAACTTTTGCAATATTCATATATGCTGAGCTCTTACAAAACACTTCTGTTTTGTTTGTGAGGTTTCAATACACACTCATAATTTAAAAGTGATGCAGTCAGACACCTGAAGAGGAAACTGAGAGTGATATATGACCCTGTGCAGATATTTGTGCCTTCAAATGCACATAACTGACATTGCACCTGTCTGAGACTTTCCACAACTAATGCCAACTGTCCTAGACATGCCAGCCCTGACTGTAAGATTGAGACCTCAGAAAATGTCCCTTCCTGCTTTTTTCTTCTTGATGGTACTGTCATTTTGTGCATTAGCTCCAGTGTTGTTTGCCAAACCAGATGAAGGCAGTCTGACCACGGGCGACTGTTGACACTTGGCATTTCGTAAAGTTTGGACAGGGCTTATGAAGGCGCTGTCATTGTCAATGGAATGGGCTTATGTTATCTACTCTAACTCTTTCACACTTTCTTGACACCCCAAACCAACTCAGAACAGCTCGTGCTATAATAACCTTTCATTTACTCACATGAGACTTCTGACTACAAATGAGGCTGTTCATTGATGCAGTAAGTGTTTAGAGGTGCATGGTAGAGCTGTACTCAAAACTAATGCTATTTTTTTAATATTTCTGAGACCCTTGGCTTTCTTTAATAGAAAAGTGAATGGGGGAGAGAGTGGGGATGGACCCTGAATGAAAGATTGTTGTAAAAGATTGAAATTGGGAATCTCATTATGAGGTAAGCAAGTGGCCCTGCATGAGATGAAGTAGAAGAATTTAAAAGACAAGCACTACTTTAATTATATATATTTTTACATTTCTAATAAAATACTATCTGTATTACACTTACTGTAAAGCAGTATGAATTACTTTGTGTACAAATTTGTTTGATGTCTTCTATAAATGCACTGTAGCGTAAGGAGTACCAAAAAGGGAAAAACAGTACTATCAATTGACTTAATGTGTTTAAATAACATATTTACCAGATTGATTTAAATAATAATAATAATAATAATAATAATAATAATAATAATAATAATAATAATAGTATTACTATTTATATAAAGTCAATTGCATTCAAACTGAGTCAAACTCAGTGACCACAACACAGTTGATATCAAGGTTATTCCAGAAGGCAAACAGAGTCTATCCTGGCCTTCACCCAATCAGAGGCTGGAGGAGATACGCTACGAGGCACACTTTCTTGTATATTGTATCCTCCCACTGTCCTCCAGTTGAGATAGTGAGCTGTATCTGCTTCTCTCGCTATGATAATGTATCTGCAGAAAGGGAAATACTCAGGATCTGGATTTATACCGTGGCAATTGTTCTGAAACATAAGATTATTGGGCCATGGCTTAAATACACTAGACCAAAAGTAATGGTTATAAACATGTTAAGCATAGAGAAAACATTTATTAACATTCATTTAAAACATTAAAACCATAATACCGTAAGGAAACAGCCTGTAGATTTATATTAAATGGTAACTTTGTTGACACCACACCTGAGTCGTAGCTCGAGCTCTGGAGTCAGCTGAGTGACCATAGGTATCCTTGAGGGCTCAGGTGGCATGACCCAGCATTAGTTTGAATCACAATGAGTGGCTGTAAAGAGGTCAGGCGCCTGAGAGTGACCTGTAATCATCTCTGAATGACAATAACCTTTTGTGGACATGCTGGCAAAATGCTTCTCTCCACTTTAGTCTTTACAGAAGCTAACAATGTTGTGCATCCTCACCAGGGGTCCTTTAACAACTCACAAAAGACACAGGGCTAAAAGGCAACATTAAAATAACATCCTTTGAACCATTAATATAGTTGTTTTTACAGCAGTTATTTGAGGTACTAAGCCAGTGTATTACAAGAGGATAGTGGATGTCAAAAGAACAAAAGACTTTGACAGATCACCTAACATTAAGGTATCTTTAGTAAAGTAATGGAGCATGTATGGCTATAGGAATGATTTTTACAAATACAATATCCACAAATGCGAATCAAAAAAAAAAAAAAAAAAAAAAGTTACTTAGATTGGCTCCACAAAAACACACTTTACTTAGCTCAATGTTCTTCCTTTTGAACTTGTGATTGTGTAACACTGCCACTTTTTTGACACTGCATGTAAAAAAATGTATGTTTGTGCTGAGAAAATGACAAAAATATAGATAGGCTCAATAATTAGGTATATTAAGCATCAACCAGGTCAAAACAATTGCTTTTGACTGCAAATTATAGAAACGTTTTCTTTAGTTCCTATAATATCCACACACTAAATTAAATCCAAAGTAACTACACTAACACTCAGTAACTACAATTACACACGAAGCATGAAAAAAATAGAATGGTAGAGACTTATAAATACTTAATTAATATACTAACCTTAACTCCTAAACATACCCCCTTAATTAGCTACTAAGACTGAATCCTTCTTAATAAACAATTTGTTCATTAGAAATTAAGTCTTAATTCATGCTTTAAGACCAATTAAATTGTACTTATGGTAAAGGCAATTCATCAGTCAAACGTTATTTATAGAGCCCTTAAGTTGACAAAAAGTACTTTACATTAAAATCAGCACAGTATAAAAGCATGAAAAAACATTAAACAGTGAAATAAAACAAATTGTGCAAAGTGTCACTGCATTACTGAGTGTGAACTAGATAAGTTT